ACTAGAATTGACTCATTCGTAATTGAGGTCAAATAGAATTGAGCAATCACTAGCGAGTGTATTGTATTTCAAATTTAAAATCAGACAGATAAAAAGTACAAAAAATCATCAATTCATACAAACGCAACAGGTGTATACTAATTCTGTCGACAGATATAAGTGGTATGTCACACCAACCAGAAGTATAATCCTTGACAGCAGAAGATTGATAAGATCGAATTGAAGTGAACTGAAATGGAAACAGAAAGTAACTGTAATAACAACGGAATTGGAAGAATCATGAGGCATGTAAAGGGCAACAGAAGAAAAATGTGCGAATAGTTTATTTAATTTGTAGTATTCACAGTTTACGAAGGCACTCTGTAATTTCGCATTAATTAATAAATTGGCCTTCTCCACCTGGGTTCTTCGATCACTATGGTAGCCATAAATTCGCATTCAGAAACAGATAAAGCGCCAAAGTTCGAAGCAGCAGGGGATATTTTGCAGCCATGCTAACGGCCAAAGTACGAGCTTGTAGTGATATTGGTTCGCAGCCACACGGTCTTCGAAGCTGAACATATGCAGAAAATGTATCTTACCCATTCTTGGATATGGTATTTTAGTTTACAGTAATTGCAGGCGTAATGATCTGATTAAAATTGAAGGTGTTCAAAGAAGGTTCATCAAAACTGTTTTGGGGTATCCCGACAACAAAGACTATCACCAAAGATATCAATAACTCAAATTAGAACCTCTCTGGATCAGACGTATCAAAATAAACCTTGTCTTTATCTACCGGTTTATTAACGGTATTTCCCACTCTTCGGTATCCACCTCTTTGTACTCTATGATATCCCACAATCTACGCAATAAGGAAGATATTCTAGAGATTCCAAGAACCCACACAAACTTACGCCAGAATTTTTCGTTATTCGCTATTCAACCATGTGGAACAGACTGTCATTGGACCTCCGTTGCAGTGAATCTACAACCCGGTTCAGAAGTCTCCTTGATGATTTTCTTTCCGAAGGTGGATTGTGTCACCTATTGAATATCAATGTGTTTATTAATGCTTTATACAGGCAAGGTCTGCCATCCGTTAATGGACTGCAAAGCAAAATGTAACCTTTGAAACTTTTCACGTCTATTTCACTTTGTTTCCATTTATCTTAATATATGAAGTCTGCTTATGTTCGTATCTATATTTATTACTGTTATTAATATCATCATTGGTCCCCCGACACATTAGATATTCTTTTCATCTCTTATTATCCTTCGAAACATATTTAATTCCTGATTGTCCTTTGAAATTAATTGTGACTTTCATAGCATAATTCTTAATTATTATTGGACGAATGTTTATACTAATATCCGGTTCCACTCTGTATATTATTGCATGAATCTACATGTATTTATCTGAACGCACTAAAGGACTTATTTTATTTTTCTAAATTGTTGGTTTACTTCAGAGGCCGATATTCACTACACAATTATTATTATCATGGTTTAACCCTTTCACTAGGTGCTCATTTCTTTTCTTTCTCGTTTTTCTTTCTAAATAAATGTTATTCTTAAGATCACGAAGTTTGTAATTAAGACAATAACTTGTGTTACACTTAACTTGACTTCTCAGACTCGTTTTATCTTCATTATGCATATATGACTCATACATATTGATATTTGGTTATCCTTTTCACTTATGTGAGACTTTCATAGCATCACTCCAAACTATAACTGCACAAACGTTTATTCTAGCGTCATATCTTACTGCAATAAAAAGTTGTTTTTTCTATACTATTTTCTATTTTATTTTTGTTATTAATCTGACGACACGTACATGGTCGTTTATTCTTGTTCTGTGTCCATAAACTCGTCTATTAAACTATTTACGTATTTCACGTCTCCTTTATTTTTATTCCCTTATTTTCTTTCTTTCCTTCTTTAAACTCAATTCAATATTCTTCTCAATTACACAGAACCTGATTTATTATTATCATTCTATCATTATTACTATCTTTTTCAAATATGGCAAATATGATGCTAACATTATTGAAATTTGTGTACCATTGCATTTTTGAAGAAACCCGAGACGGTTTCTTCACGACACTTATGTACCCATAAGACGTTTGTGAATAACAATAATTATAATAATATAGTTGCCGAGAATATACACTTTAAACATGTAACAATGAAAGAAAGTCAACAATGATGAACAAAGATAGACTCATCCACTAAATTCGATGGCATGGCTCAGCCTTGCAGGCGGGCCATTCTCGTGTAACCTGCTTTTTTTGTTCATATTAAATGCATTGTTTTATCCTCAGAATAATTGTGTCCTATATAAATGCCGAAGATTGTGTTGCTGACTGTTATATTTAGGTGTCTTTGCTTGTAAATGGTAGCGTCATGGATAGTGATATCTTTCACAAGAATTAATGAACTTTTTTAGGTATGATTTTTTTATTAAAGTGCTTATTTATCTATATATTTAGACACATAAATACCGGTACAAAGAGGCACCAAATACATATGTGCTACACAATAACAATGAGCGAATGGAGTGATGGCGAATGTAAAGTGTGTAAAAGAAAAAAGGAACAACTACGAACATAAATTAGTGTTTGAAAGTAAGATAATAACAGTGGGTAAAGCATTTCGGTTATCAAAAGTACAACTAAAAAGAAATCCTCCAGTTAAAGAAGTTACGTTCACTTTTATGAAGAAAGTAAAAGAAAACCATAGGGGAATAGCCACTAGCTTCCATTTTGAGTCACATTCCTAGCCACTGTTTTGCACCATCTCTAGGATCTCAACCGGGGGTCCTGGTCAGTCATGTACAGCTTTCTTCCATACCACGATACCATGTCAGACATTGACCACCTCTCTGCTTTTCCAACCCTTCACAGTGTCCGCAAATGATGCAAGATGTGGAATTCTCTGAAACAACATTCTTAAGATACGTTTAGGCCATCGAACTCCGTGTTTAAAGATAGTGACACCAGTTGAAATATCATCGCTGTGCTCGAACGCACGGTGCCGAACCTCAACATTACCAACATTGTGTCACCACTGGGTGTCGGTAATCATTCGGAGACAATGACGATTAAACATAAAGTGGCCTAACATCCTGAACATGGAGAGGTCAGGTTTCATAATCATAGACCGAAACTGTTCTCACCTACATGTTGTAGATTCGACCTTTTACAGACAGATATGTAGTAGCATTGGACCATAATCACTCAATCCTCAAAGCTGAACACGAGACTACTCGGAAAACATCACAAACGCACCAAAGGTGTCCCGGGTTAGCATGAGTTGCTCTGGCTTTCACTAAACCTGATCTCATCAATCACACCGTCACCAGCACCTATTCAGCAACCTAGATACACAAACTTGTAGACTACTTCTATCTGTTCACTAACCAGGTTGAGTGCAGGTTCAGGGTCCTGTCAGTCTTGCAAAAGTGCTTTGCAACTCGTAGGTGAAAAGCACATACCATATCCATGAACGCTAATCGCCAACTGATGAAGCGAGGATTGCATGTCTCGGGCATCATCGCACAGTAAGACAATATCATCCGCACACTGAAGACCGAAAAGTCCTTCTTCAGGCAACAGATCCACATTACCATTACCTACATCCATTGGAGCTGTTTCCAGAATGTCATCGATGGCAAAGTTGAGCGACCCTGCTTAACCCCACTGCCTGAGTGGAACAATGGAGAGAGGTTGCCGTATGCCCTCATTCTACCTCAGGTGTTTGTATGTAGAGCTTTTAAGATGTTCATGAACTTTTCAGGCACACCCTTCTTCCATAGACAATTCTAGATAACAGTCCTGTGCAATGAATCAAAGGAGGCCGTAATGTCAACTAACACTACGACTAGGTTTCATTACCAAGATTTGATTTGATGATTTCGAATAAATTGAACATTGGGTAGATCTTTATAAATAAATAATATATTTGTAATATTCCAATGAGTGGAAAAATTAGATTTTCCGGCGTTTCGTGACTTAGTGTAAGTCACTTCTTCAGAGAATAAATAACCGAATTAAAACCAATCCAAGTTTAAATAATACAACATCAGAAAATTTAATTTTTCTACTCATTGGGATATTACAAATATATTATTTATTTTAAACAATACGGATGTTTGCTTGTGATATGTATGACAGTGTTCTAACATTCGGTGAAGGGTGAAGATATGACCAAAACATCCTCGACCGGGACGAAAACCAGCCTACTCCTCGTGAGTTGATTTTTGTCGGGTTTTGAACAATCTACAAAGTATGACGTAAGCCGACAGTCAGAAGTAGACTTATCCACGATAGTTGTTGAAGAAACAATGCGAAACCTTTTTAAAGATAGAAATAATTATTGACTCATTCCACGATTTTGAAACATTCTCCAATAGCCAGATCATTGTTAAAACAATTCAGTCATTTTCTTAACCAGAAAGCCACCACCATCTTTAAAAACGGTCGCAGGTAAGTCATCTGGGCCTGGTGATTTGTGTCACTTCAAGTGTTGGAGATCCTCGAGGACTTCCACCGCGTTTGGTGGATCACTCGCCACGAGCCTACCTTTTCTATTATCATTCCATTGGGAAACCCTTACTTCATAAAGTATTTGACTCCTATTCTCAAAGTTTTGCCTAAATAGCTTCACGGTCAACAATTTTATGGAATTTCAGAAACAAATTTGATGGGCGAAATCCGTGTAACACAAGTTCTCTCACATCACCAGCGACTTTCTGAGACATTAGAATTTGTCCTTAAAACTGCTATACTATGTAAACATACCCAGGTTGTTGTCCGGATAATTGAAGCGTTCTTCCTAAAATAAGCTTTTGAACTTACAACTAGCCTTCCAACTGGGCTAATGAAGAGATAATTTTCAACTGAATCGAAAATTCTTTTTTTCGACAAAATGTTATCCTCTATGTTGTTCGACAACTTTATATGGGCTAGTGATTAAATTTATCATCTGCTTTGTATTCAGTAATATCATTGACCAATGATAATATATTCCGCTTTATTTGATTATTGACCTTATGTTCGGTTTACATAACTTACAAATAGAAATCGGCAAGTCTTTGAGCGATGTCAGGTTTTTGATGTGTAATGTTTGGCAAAATAAATGAGTGTTTCAGCTATGTCTGAGTCGCCCACCACTAACACTGATGAACGATTTTTTTTTACTCATTATAGAGACAACACATCTTATCGTAGTTCTTCGTTCATCATATGAAACGCTTTGAGATCTGTGGATCCGCGTACAACTTTTGCTGTCAATATGCTAGGTTTAGTGTACACATGGCTGTGCCAATTAGATATAGCATTATCGACATCCTGTAACTTGTTATACAATTGGGATGTCTGTTTATCAGCCAAGTTACGTGTTTTCAGTTCAGTAGCCCGCTCTGTATTAATATATCACCGCAAAACAGGGTCCTCTGAGGCATCCAACATGCGTAGGTTATAGGATTTTTATCGCTGGTGTCTTCGAAGCATTGATCACTTTTCATGGAACAGCAGAGTAAAGAGTCTTGGTGTTAAATACAGGGTACTAAGCAGACAAGGCGAGTCAGTTGATGAGGCTGTGTGTATTCACAAACTGAAGTAGTTGGGAGATATTATTCATGGCCAACCATTACGGAACACGACGATTAATGTCGATTGGAGTAGGAGTAAGTTGGAACAAAGCCAAGAGTTGTCGATTTAACTAAGGAACTTTTTCACGAAGTCAATAACTGTTGGCTTATGAATATCAGTCACATTGACTACTTAGGAGGTAATGTACTAAATTTCAAATGAATTGCAGCGGTTACACTTCAGTAAATACAAAAGATTTCATCCCTACAAACATTCTTTTTGTTCAGATGCGCTATGTATCATTCAAAAGGACTATAGATTTCGCGTAATTTTTTTAGGATTTCAATCTCTTATTCAATGAAAAGGGCAAAACAAGAAAGAGAACTAACAGATGAAGAGCGTAATGTCGTGATATCAGTACGTCATTGTGCGCGAGAATTGGACGATGTCTTACAGGGTGCACGTAGAAAAGCCCAGTCGAATCCCAAAGTGTTTGCGGAGACAGGAATTAGTGTCATGTTTAGAGGTATTGACTCTTATGCGGACATGTATGAAAAATTGGGTGTGAAGTCAAGAGATGGATTAGAAAGATTATTTTCTAAATTTTCTGACTGTGAAGAAATTCAGGATACTCAAGATGCGATTGAAGAAACCGAAGGAAACTGGAGAAATTTTCTAGTTAATCTTGATAAGGAGGTTGCACGTGATGAGCATGAAAATAGTAGAGTTAATTCAATATCTAAACCCGAGAACCTTTCTGATGTGAAATGTGATTACTTATTCTTACCATCACTACCACTTATTGACTGGCAAACCAACCGTGAGGTTAATCTGCAAGATTATGTCCAAAAATACTTGTGCCTTGTAGTCATCTGTCAACCTGCGTACTGGCCAGATACTGCTGTTCGTTGGCGTTATTCAGAGGTATCAAAAGCCCAGGTAAATTTCTCACTCCAAAATTAGTGGTTTTACGAATAACAATGTTTTTAGAGTAAATCTACATAAAACGTTTCGCTATCAGATTCACCATTAGTGTATTTCAGTAATCACATGTAGTTACTACTACCTATGTACACAATCGCCAGGTCCTACATTTCGTATCACTGACTGACTAGGAAACTCATATTCCGTGATATATTTGAATCCATGTTGATTTGGATCATACTGTCGATTTGATAGTGCATTAATAAAACTAACGTCAAGTTAGGCCATTACTATTTTATTACGTAGAGGCTACATGTTTTTGCCATTACTTGATCTTACGATTGGCAATTTCCTATATATCACCTGTTACTTTGTTATGTTACCCATTTTTTGTTCTTGAACTTTCGAGGAATTTCTCTGTATTTCATGAAGCGCCAAAAACAACTAGTTTAGTTGGTAGTATATCTTTCAACTTCATTATGAACATAGTTGTTGATCAATACTCAAAATTCTGACATATATAAAGCATCCACTCGTTTATGTGGTTCCCGTTGTATATTTACTAGCATAACGAGATGTAGGTACACTAAAATTCATCTACGTGAAATAACATGTCATGCAATACTGAACCTAGTACTCGTATTGTGCGACTTATAGAAGCTGACCCAACCAAAAACCAATGTTCTTGAACATACAGACGATTCACCACTGTAAAGATTCTTGCCTTCTAAAGATTTTATTTAATTTTATTTCTCCTGTAGATGTATATATATGTATGTCTAAATGGAATAAAATGATTTTGTTTGAACATTATGTTGAGAATTTTACTAAACATACAACAGAGCGATTCGATTATTATTATCGTTGATACGATGCGTTGAGCTACTGTTCATAGTCACGAGAATTTTTTATGGTAAACTGACTTCCTTTTTAGCATTAATGTCATATTTAGTTTGACAATTATCCTCATTTCCTACCGATATCAGACTGGAAATCAGGCATTCAATCGGTTTGAGACATGGCGTCAACAGACATAGACCCAAATTACGACAATTTACATCAGTAACCGAGGGTGAATACAGTTAGCTCTCTCTCGAAATGCACTCACATGGCCACGCGTATACATCCACTGCCAGGGAGGTCCTACTCACTGCCTTTTCGCGGCGAGGGTGTTGTTTACGAACTTGAGAGAACGAAAAGCGAATGTTCGGTACTTCAACCGGGTTAGTTTTTATTTATTTATTTTAACACATAGGTATTGGTACAAGGAGGCACCGAATACATATGCACCACACGAATCTCAATTGATTTGTTTGAGGGCTGTGATACTGCCCGGGTGCCCAAACCGAAGCAGGTGGTTTTCTTAGGGGGCCACACCCCGAGCCTTCGACCTGAAGATCTGATCCACAAGGCAGTGGAGCATCGTAAGGAGATGCAGTCCCATGGTAGCCGGTGACCAACGATTGGTTCATACGCCATTTGTTTCTTCAGGATACCGGAACCCATGTGCACCATTGGTTTGGGATCCGGTTAAAGCCGGTGCCGGAAATTCGCTTTTCGTCCTCTGAATTTCGTAAACAACACCCCCGCCACGAGAAGGCAGTGAGTAGGACTTCCCTGGCAAAGGCTATATACGTGTGGCCATGTGAGAGTATTTCGAGAGAGAGGCGGACTATCCCCACTCTCGGCCGTACCAGGGCATTTGGCGGCCAACCGGGCTAGTGGATATGGAGAATCCACCTAGGAGAGTTGAGAAAACCTGATTCCAAACCAATGGTGCACATGGGCTTCAGTATCCTAAAGGAACAATAGGCATATAAACCGAATGTTGGTCACCGGTTGCCATATGACTGCACCTCCCAAAGTTGCTCCACTGTCTTATGGATTAGACTTTCGAGTCAAAGGTTCCTGGTGTAGACTCCTAAGAAAACTAGCTGTTTCGATTTTGGCACTCAGGCAGTATTACAGCCCTCACACCAATGATAAATGCTACTGGGCTCGTTGTTATTGTGTGGCGCATATGTGGTTGGTGCCCCCTTGTACCAATATTTGTGTTCAGACAAATAAGCAATCAATGGCTTTATTTATGTATGCCACGAAAGTTTTGCTTTCATTAGCGTTTGTCCTCTACCATTGATTTTAGTACCTCAAGAAATACGATTTCATAAAATATAATTCTCACACTACGTAATTCTCAAGAATCTGTCTGTCAGACAGATATTTTACTGCTCATTACGTTTTCAGTGGAATTCAAGACGTTCTAATTAGAAATCCCGCTAACGGATATCAACTAATAAAGATACATATTTCTCACTAGTCTTCAATATTTGTATTCAATCCGAAGAGATATTGATAGTACTGACTGTCAAAATTTTCCAAGTATGATAAAATAGTATGTGGTAAACTTTATTCTCAGTTGATCTTCAAATGGTACCTTTTTCATTTTGTTAAGTGCTTTGCGGAAATTAGTTGAATTCGATGGTAGTTCGGACTAATATCAGCTGGAAAACCATCGAAAACTTGGGTGGACAGGCGTTTTGTTCTAGCGCACACAAACACTTCAGAGACCAAACACATGACGTTCAGTCCATGTGATTAGCCCATCACCATTAGACTACTGCATTTTAGTCTCATGGTTCATATCTCCAACTTCAGTTGACTTGCGAGTTTAACAGTTATCACTCAGTAATATTGGATGATACTCGAGTTCTGTTCACATTGGGAAAATTTTAAAACGCAAACGATTTCAATCAGACTTAGTGATTAAGTACTACAGAGCTGATCAGGAGGTGTGGATCATGGGTTCGATCTATGGTGGGCTTGTGAGCTCACGTCTGTAGGAAGCCTCAAGATAAAACGAAAGGGTCATCCAGTATGGCCTCCAAATGCCCTGGTACGGCCGAGAGTGGGGATAGTCCGCTCTCTCTCTCGAAATACTCTCACATGGCCACACGTATATAGCCTTTGCCAGGGAAGTCCTACTCACTGCCTTCTCGTGGCGGGGGTGTTGTTTACGAAATTCAGAGGACGAAAAGCGAATTTCCGGCACCGGCTTTAACCGGATCCCAAACCAATGGTGCACATGGGTTCCGGTATCCTGAAGAAACAAATGGCGTATGAACCAATCGTTGGTCACCGGCTACCATGGGACTGCATCTCCTTACGATGCTCCACTGCCTTGTGGATCAGATCTTCAGGTCGAAGGCTCGGGGTGTTGCCCCCTAAGAAAACCATCTGCTTCGGTCTGGGCACCCAGGCATTATCATTGCCCTCACACATATCCAATGAGATCTGTGTGGTGCATATGTATTCGGTGCCTCCTTGTACTGATATCTGTGTGTTAAACTAATAATAACCATCCAGTATGTTTCCGATTGGTTTCCTGACTGATTTCGGTCCGTGACGAAAGCTACCATCAAACAAGTAACACTGCTTATAAGCTTTTCAAATCGATCAGTCTTTACAAAACCGCCTTAGCTGGTACCCAATGTAATTAATCGTATAGGTTAGTTGATTTTACTTCTGTTGAAACATCGCTTTTTGATCATACTAATATATTTCTCCGTTAATTTGTTCCAAGAAGTTATGATCTAGTAGTATACTGACATCGACGTCGAAATGGAGGCATTTATGCCTCAACCGTATCAGTTTTGACGTCACTGCAAGTCATAAATTCATAATTTTTAGATGTAACATATTGTTTTTTCTATTTATTTTAGATATTTTATTTAAATTAATGATATTCTGTACAAATTCTTTTCTCTGTGTTCTGAAATGGGTTTTATGTTTATGTAAGTAATTTCAAACTTCTTTTTTGAAGTGTGATCTATCACAATTCAACGTTGGATACGCAGTTGTTACATGGGGCCCAGCAGATGAAGTGCGGAGTTGGTGTAAACAAGTTAATCGAATTACAAAATGGCCAGTTTTATGGGATAAATCAGGCGATTTTCGAGCTAAAATTGGATTTAAATCAGGCTTACAACGTGTTAGTTTACAAAATTCCCTTTTCAGCTCGTACTTTTCATAAAATCAGTTTTCATTGTTGCATTTCAATATCATGTAATATGAAGTGCATTAACTGATTAGTACCATGGTCTTGTCCATATACTTTTCAAAAGCAATAGTTTCACACTCTTAGAAGATATTATTGTCTATGCTAGCCAAGTTTACTTATTAGCCTGAGCAATCCTACCACGTACTTGTAAAACTTGACATATTGAGCTGAGGATGTTTACTGTCTCAATCTGATCATCGTTGTCTCTCGACAATCGCTCACATCTTATAATGGCACCATTTTTGTAATGCTAATATCCAACAATATGCGCTTTGGCAAAACCCAATCTTGACTGTCATCTTGGCGTGGTGCTCGAACTTGAATATTATGATGACCCGGTCGGACTGTTTTGGTTGGAATACTCGATCCCTTAGGTGCTACCCTACTTGGCAAGCTGTCCAAAGAGCAGTAAGACTAAAAGCAGCAAAATCATGATCTGAAGTTGTACTGTTGGTTGTATAGGAGTATGATGGCATTAAGGTTTTTTTTCTTCAGACACTTAACATCTACAGTGGTACTGTCTTCCTACCACAAAAGGAGGAAGCTAGGTAAAGTCGACCTTGAAAACGGTATACCTCACCTTGCTATATGGATTTCTGCTTTAGCGGCAAGGTCTTAAAAGTACATAGCTAATTTTCATAAAACTATTCACAAAAAGGTAATGCGTAGCCAGCCTTATGCAGTTGTCCGTTTGGTAGTGAACTTACGCTTTCGTGCTATCGAAAATTGCGTTTAACCCTGCCTCACTTTTAGGTACCCGAGAAACTGTCCTTTCATAGTGTAAGCAAAAGAGAAGTTATAACCGACTTCACCTCTGTGACAGCTCTAGGTTAATGAATAACAATCCTATAGGTATAACCATCTTGAAATACTAATATTAATGGCTTAGGCACGTTTTATGTTGTCCTAGCGGCTCCCATACCGCACATTATTTGTTGATAGTGTGATTGTATAAAACACACGAGATAATGGACAATTCTTGACTCCAAAAATCCCCAAATTGTGAATTAAAACAACATATATAGGTGGACAGTAACGTTTGCAATTCGACCCTTCTCAGGCTTTATTCTAATATACAAAAATATCTAATACACATATACGAAATTATTAAACCAATCAAGGCATTTTACGAATTATTGATAACAGTCGGATAGCTAACATAGATAAACGATAAGTAAAATTTAATGTGATGATTTTAAAGTTACATGGGAATCCGGTTGTATTGCAACACATTCAGCTACTCCTGTGGAGAGCGCACAACTAGACCACTGAGCCGAGTTAATGAGCACCTCTTTTCGCAGTTAGGAAAGGGTTTCGTTAAAACAATACACAGCTATGTTTCATAACACTTAATCGATAGTGTTCGTGTAGTAGTAGAAAATAGGTCATTTGAAGTGATCTTTGGTATGCCTACTAGTCTTCCTTATGAGGTTCAATCTCGTCGCTTATACATTGCAGAAGCTTTAGGGATTCCAGCTGACAATCCAAGACATTGGGTTCATAAGAAATTCGTGACACTTATTCCACCCTTGGCCTTGGTAAACGATTTTACTTATTATTATTTTCCATTTTCTTCCTTCCATTATTTTTCTTTACTCTTTTTTCCAAATGTACGCTTCACTGTCTAATTATCGAGATACTTCTTACGTAATTTTTGACGAACATTATTTTATTGTTTTTTTCAGGTCGTTAACCTACTTTCTATGATAATATATTGATTCAATACTTCATTATTATTGCCATAACTAGTACATCTATCAGACGCTGTCGACTCGTGCTGTTTAGTTATGTTTATATATGTAATCTTTCCCACTGTTATCACTTACTTCCTTGATCGATATGATAATTTCATAAATGCACATAAATATTATTGTATATTAGAGTAAAGCCTGATAAGGATTTAATTGAAAACAATGTCCTAATTTTTGACGTGTCATCCTGACATAAAAAATAATTGGATTGAGTTTACATCTACTTTTCACTCAAGTACTTTTAGATGGGGCAACTAAGACATTACCAGAAAAAATTTAAAATAAAAGTTAGTAGCAATGTATTTTGAATATATATTGTTTTTCGTAAATAATTAAATGGCCCTGGGTGTAAGAAATCTACTTTGGTTGTTTTTATTCAGTGCTTTGTTTCGCGCATTTCTTGATGTCTTATTTTGTCAAACCTTCTCCTTTATAGGTATTTTTACATGAACACTTCCTTGTTTGGTTGTATTCACTTGACGGACTCACTATTATGATGTACGCCCTTACTAAATTTTAGCTTTTATTGTATATTTATTACTAGCTGTCAGATATTTGGAAACGTTTACAACCTAGACTATGCACATATCCAAAAGATATCTAAAAAAATTTTGGTCGCTTAACTCAATTATGTTTATACTACTAAGATTTACAGGGTGTTTGTGCATTAGGATTTTATCCCCTAATAAATCCTTGGTGTAAGAAAATATGGAGTGATAATATCACTTTTGTTTTAACAGTGACGTTAGTGTTCTGCTATGTAGTGTTCCTCAATTAGCAGTGAGGGTTATTTTTTATTTATCTTAAAACTTTTTATACAAAGCAAAAACTTGCTCTAGGGAAGATATATGCCTCTGAAAATAATTACAAACCTATTAGTGATGTATCTTCACACAATCTACTCATAAAAATCATGTCTTAGAACAGTACTTTTAGACATAGCACAGGGAGGATTTATATCGAACTGTTCTCATAGAAAAATCTTAGCCGTAATGTTTTTCACATATACTTTACTGTTTTGATGAGACCAAAATGAATGTTACCCAATAATTTCACCTTATTACGTTGTGTAAATTTGCCAAGGTCTTAATAAGTTTTTATCATATATAAAAGCATTAATTAAATCTTGTCATTTCACTACTTAATGAATATAGGTATGGGCCGCTGAAAATCTGGATTTCCTTGGTTGTCAACGTTCAATGCATCATCGTCCGATAAATCTACCGCCAACTAATCTCAATTGGTCAGAATGGAAACAAATCGGTGGCGAATTAGTTTTAGCTCAGCCTGTCTTATGGAATCCACAAAAGACAATGAAATCTAACATATATGTAGCAACGCAAACAGGTGCAAAACATGAGCGCAATACTAATGAAAGTGACGAAGAAGAAGATAGATCCAATGAAGAAGACTTGCACTCAGAATCACTTAAAGTATCAATTAGAGAGGCTCTTCGTGATAAAGAAGCGATGAGTTCAAAACACGTCAAAGTTTGTGCATTGCACCTAAGTACTCGTATTTCGGATCTCATGCCTTCAGGTTCGATATATCAAGCTGCTTTAACTTGTTATGCTCGTACACACAATACTACAGAAAGCGATGTCATGGATAAAATTAGGAGAGATCGCAGATTTTCTACACCACCTGAATCAGCTCGATTACAGTACGAAGCAACTACCGGTTTATATTATGACCCAGAAACTGCTTTGTATTATGACCCATTAAGAGGTTATTTCTATGATTCAACGAATCAAATGTATTACTATTGGTCTCAATCTGAAGGACGATATATCTTGGCCAATACATTGATTCAAGCTGAACTTGCTGCTGCGCATGTAGCTCAAGCAGTAGCAGCCCAAGCTGCCGCAGACAAAGCTATGGCAGAGCGAGAAGCTGCTAAGAAGGCGGCCATGTGTGTAGCCGCACAATTGGCAGAGATACGTGCGGGTAAAGACGATTATGCTGCCTATGCGTATGCAACATGTGTATTACCTCAACAAGAACCAAGTGGTCCAGATTACAAAGAAAAATCTACGGACAGTGGTAGATTTTGTATCGCTTATCAAAATACAACAGCCGCTGCAAATAATATAGAAGCATCACTAAAAGCATGGAATACAGGCAATACTAACAGTGGTACTGAGATTTTGTCGTCTAAACCTCTTGTCCCTTACACAGATGACAATACAGAAACTGATCATTGTACTTCAACACCGCCACCTCCAGGATTGTAAATAATCATACTGTAAAAAACACGACAAACCCCCATGTCATTGCTTTAGTCACATTGCTCCACTCACTATACATTTGGCATTTTTGCGTATTATAAGCTGTACACTTGTGCGGCGTATTTAATTTTGTGTTTGTACAGCAATATTCTGGGTTTAAAGAACTTTGTAATATTTTACTATTTCTGTAAAGCATAAACTATTCTAGTACATAAAAGAATGAAGTTGATGTGACAACATTTGCATGTCATGGTAACTAAAGCGTCCTATGAATAAGGGTAGGCGATGCTGAACGACTTAATGCCGCCAGCGTAGTTACATGAACACATATTTTTCGTAAAAATTACTGGCATGCTATGAAAATGCTGCGTCATCTTTTTTATCAACTGAGCTTGGTTCTTTCTTCGGGCAGAATCAACTTTAAGCGGCGAGTCGGACTTGTTAGTTTTTAGGGATTTTGAAACCAGTTGGAGATTCAAGAAACATTGCAGTAAAAAAACATTTGTAATCTAATAACGAGGAGAATGTGCACACTAGGAGGCATAAATACCCCTATCACACGAGATAAAAATAAATAATAACCTATTGGTTTGTATTTTTATTTGTCAAGTCTTTTTTTGAGACATAAATTATTGGCATTTCATGAATGACAAAGCCAGGAATTTTTAGTATATCAATCAATCTTCTCGTTGAGAGTACTTCCACATAATTATTCTGAAGAGTTGTTGTTGTTTTGATATCTTTGCTTACTTGTTCAATACCATTTTCTTGGACATGTACATAGAAATAAATCTTGGCATTGGAATCACAAGATCGGCTTGTTTTGGAATGTAACCATGATGAAACTTTTCCAAAAGGAGGTGAACCAGGGGGATAATAGGTAATCAGCATATCTTGCCGTTCAGATGATACATTAAGTATATGATCGTTCCATATAGTACATAAACGTGTCAGTTGCTCTTGATCATGTACGACCAGACGTATTGATTTCGAATGGCTGGTAATACAAGTTACATCTGAAGCTTCTCCTAAAGACATAAGACTAAATTCTATGCTCCACAAAATACTTTTAGGTTCGTCTTTTTGTATATGGACACGGGTTTTGTTGACTTTTGTACGTGACAGCATAAGTGTTGGTGCGAGTCGAAGTGTTATACCATATTCATTGGCTAACTTTACTAGTTGGTTCCTTCTACGTATCCTTCCAGTATTTCGATGGGATAGCTAAAGAAAAAATAGCTGGAAATGATAAAACTTGTAGCACTGTGTCTATTACTTATAAAAAACTGAGTACAGTAAAAAAATCTCCCAAATACACAGTAACCACTGAAAAAGTGTGAGTTTGTGACAAGGAAGATGTTAGAGTCTGAAGAGACCATTAGTAGTTCTAATAGAAAGGTTTGCAGTATTTGACAAGATTAACATTTAATTTATACTGCTAAGATCGTGAATACTATATCAGTGATATATTTTGTAGTATGAGCCTTCGACCTTAACCTACTAACTTTGGCACACGAAATTTTGTGACGAACATTGTTCCTGAAGAATCTGGATCTATGATACTGATAACGTTCGTAAGTGACTACGTGGGAGTAGGGATGAAGATCGAGAAATGTAAGAGTGTATTAGGAATTAAGTATCTGCGTGTATGTCGAGTGCTACCGACCAAAGTAAGCGAGTAGCTAATAAATCGGGTGCAAAAAACATTGAAAAATTACGTAGATAAAAGTGAGCATGTAATTATAAGAATGGAACTAACGGGCGGAACATTCGTTACGAGTATAAAACCTAGAGGAACTTCGGTGTAACTGTAGGGTTTAGAAGATCAGGAGTGAGGTATCAGGCTTCATGAACTTAATTATACACAGTGTGGGCTCATTTATGAGTTTTCTTGTGGTTACCGCAGTTTATCAGAAACGAAGTTCCGCAGCACAGAACAAGTCTAACGATATTTCACTGACACGACTGTAGCTGCTACTTTAACAGAGGGGCTGGAACACATGTTCCTTTATGTCTTACTATCGCAGACAGGTCACTTGAAGAACGGTACGTCTGAAAGCAGCAAGGTCCGAAGTCGTACTATTGACTGTGGAAGAGTGCGACGAAGCTAAGATGTTTAACTCAGAAACCAGCATCTGCAGTTATACTGTCTTCTCACAACTGAAGGAAGGGGTTAAAAAAGGTTAAGACTAAAAACAATTCACCTTACTCTACGGATTTCTGTCTCCGGTGGTAAGGCCTTTTGAAATGCGGAGCTAACAAATCAGAACCTCATAAAATGGACGTGCGTGTTCGGCCTCAGGCAGTTATCTTTTAGTTTTAGCGGATACGCTCCTAGGTCGCTGTTAGCGGGACATAGATTGGATTAAATCATGCTCATTGCACGCTTGCGTTGGCGCACGCTGATTGGCTAATTCTTGTCCAATCAGCGCTAGTCGATACTTGGAGAAGACTCTAGAATCTTCTCATGTAAAAACTATAAATATACTAACGGTTTTCCTATTGTGCTTCTTGCTTCCATCTAACCTTGTTATTTGGAATATAATCTCCTTCCTGCTCAACCGTGTTCTGATTTGGGGCCTTATCGAGTGAATCTGTGTCCGTGAATACTAAGCAATAGGAAAAGCTGGGTTAAAACCGTAAAAGAGAGAATTATAACAGTCGCTAGGACCAACGTTAATCACGCTTTTTGACGAAGTTTTGTTCTCTCAGATGGATGGTTTATTCGTGGAGCTTTCAACGTTCTTTTGAACGACATCGTCCCAAGGCTTGGGAAGCAGGGAGGTAACAACCGCCCTTATACCTCTAATAATAGCAGCCGCGATCATCTTGTTTACGATCAAATCCCCCCATTCCTTAATAATTCTCATGTCCCCGTGATTAACCTTTCTAGTATATCTTTATCAACGCACGCTACTGATTTGAGTTCATGAAATGTTATTCTTGGTCTCCCCAAACGACGTTCTGAACTTTTAATGTCTGAAATTTGTGTCAGTCTTCTTTAGCTGGGACTTTTTGGCAAACAGCAACTTTACGTACAAGGAAAAGCATTGTCCAACGTGGAGACTCACTAAATCGACTCAACGATGGACTCGAAAAGATCACATTGCCGTTAGCCATCACTGAGGGGGCTTGATAGAAGACTATAGGTCATTCTGGAGCACATGTTTAGGCTTGGATTACGTTCTAGTTTCAGCGTATTCTTGTCCGCATCTAACTGGACATAAAAAAGCATCGGCAAGAAAACGTACGTTCAAAATCCAGCTGTTAGTGAGACTAATTCAGGAAAAGATGTGACTATATTGAGTTAAGTCCTCCAACTCTTAGTATAGTTGAAAAGGCAAGAGATAGTACTAGGGCCTGGTAGAGTGACTCCTGAAGTTTTTAAGGATAGTGGTCCACTTTTAGCAACTAGGTCAACCGAAATCCTAATGAGAATTCCGGGACCTCACCGTATTTCCAGCTGACTGATTTCAATCGGTGACCGTCCCAGTCTATAAGAAAGGACAAACATCCTCTTGTAATAATCACAGGAGAATAAGTTTAGTTAAGTGTCTAAAATATTGACCCCAATAATACCTCGACGTCTAATTAGAGCCAGTGGAGAGCGAATCCCAGAAAACCAGGTCAGTTTCAGACTTGGATGTCGATGTAAAGATCAAATATTTACCCTTCAGCAAGTTCTGGAACATAGATATACTTTTCGATGTCCGGTAATAGTTGTATTCCTTAACCCTGAGGCGGCGTTTGAATCCGTCGATTGTGTGGTTTTATGACAGTAACTAACACTGAAAGGCGTGCCAAAGAGGTACGTTAATCTTTTACAGGCTGTTTATTCAAACACTACTGGTTGAGTTATAGCTTACGGCAAACTGCCATCGGAAATGAATACTACATGTGATGTTCGTTAGGTTGTCTGCTTTCCCACTTTTAACATTGTCGTAGACATGCTTTGAGAGATAACACTTTCGTTATCTGAGAGAGCCGGTTATCTCCCTTCAAATATAAAATGACTATTCAGGACTGGTTTGCAACAGAGCCCGGATTAATTATAGGGTGTGAATTAGTTAAACGCATCGACTGATGCACATACATACCAAATTCTGCGTTGCGACTGACTGATTCTACTGATAAATTTGAAAGATATATCTTTGAAACGTCTCGATGACTGGCATAAACTAGAATACATCCAGGTGAACGCAAGATCCAAGAAGCAACAGAACTGTGATAACAATCGGAAAAGGATGGGCGTGATACATAACCTTAGATGAAAATACTAACCAGAAACTGATAAGAAATAGAATTGATCACTTACCGATAAAAGTTGTTTTTCTCTGTAAGCATTTTTTCTGTCAATTTCCTCTAGTAATCTATAGTCTTTCTGAAAGAGAAACATTGAATAATTCTCCTTCCGACAATAGGTAATGGTATCACATATGCCCGTACAATCCAACTGTGCTTTATGATCATTACAACATGTAAGACTACAAGTTTTTACTTCACATTTTGGACATTTGTACTTAAACTCATTTTCTGAGCACATGGCACATAAACGATCGTCACTGACTGAAGCCCATTTCACAAATTGTGAATTTTCTACATTCATTACTAAATTAATTCAGAACGAGTCGGAACCTAGAAAGTGGCATGAACAGTAGTGACATTCAGAATTTTGAACAAATCAATGAGAAAAGTTTAACTGAATCAATAAAGTGTGAATGACATCCACTGTTTTAGCAAGAATTTTAAAAATCACTGAGAAACAGCTTCTTAAGTAAAAAATAAACCAGACTAACGACCATGAGGACCTATCAGCCAAAGTGATTTTGGGGATTAAGGTTGGAGTTCTCATCCCGCACCAACATCGGCTACAAAGACGGAATGCTATTCAGCCGAATGGATGGTTCTTACAAAACGTATCGCTTAGCCGGTTTATTAACTACGCTAAAATATACATATTATTGTACACACACACCCCCCGAAAGTACGCCAAACAGGTCGTAAGCGAGTTTTAGAAGAATCTACACGACGTCCAAAAATATCACAAACAGCAACTGGTTTTAATACATTATTATACAATATCCTAAAGCCAAAATAAACATGTGACATTACGCACAAATTCAATTAACGCGGTCAGTAAATACGATATCCATCATCTCGTAATATGTTCGAAGTAATAAAAATACTTGTTGTGAACCAATATAAATCAATTCACTAATTTGCATTAGCTTCTTTTTGTTTCAGTACTGTTCCAAGTATTTGGTACTGTACAATCGGTGACAGATAAGCCACTTAGGTGCACTGAATGCAGTCAAAATGGTTCAAATGGTTGTGGACGGAATAGAAGATGCTTTCGCTTAACAGGCTTCCGTGTCTAGTAGCGGGGGATCACCAATACTTCCAGGCAAGAACCTAGGTATATTAACGATAAAAGAGAAAAAACAATGAATTGGTAAATCATAGTAAGATACTATCCTTAGTCCTTAATAATAGATCAAGTCGCCTCTTAAAGGGCTCAGGAAAGTTGCGTGAACTAGCTCAGCCGGCAGCGAATTCCAGCATTTGACAACTCTTAAGGAGTAGAAGTTGTGCCTGCAGTCCATTTTACTATGTTGTATCTCTAATTTCTGGGTGTTACGCCTTAGTTTGGTGTTAGAACTAAGCTTAAGTAGGTGTTTAAGAGGATTCCAGGAGTGTTGAGGATACTGTAAGCCATTAGAAGATCATCTTTAAGACACCTATACACTAAAGGGTAAAGGTCAAGTGATTGGAGGCGCTCTTCGTAAGGCTTGAATTTGAGTCCCCGAACTGATTTCGTGGCTCGCCGTTGGATACGCTCCAGAGTGTCTATGTTTCCGTACTCTAAATGGGGACGAATAAAACTTGAAGATTATGTGGAAAGTTCTTCCGTCAAACTGACCCAAAATGCGCTTCAATTTTGCTAGTGCAATGTTTGCTCGAAATACATTTCTTTCACAGTTGGCGTAAGACTTTAAGTCGTAGGGCACCAGAACTGCTAAATCTTTTTCGACTCAGGATACTACTAGAGAGAAGTTTCCTAAGTTGTAACTGTAATCTGTGACGTGTCGCAGATGGACTACTTTACAATTTGAAGTGTTAAAGGTAAGTCCGTTGTCATCTGCCCAACTTTGAAGTCAAGTCAGATCCTCCTGAAGTGCCTGTATATCCTCTTGGTTGCATATCTCTCTCCAAATTTTGACGTCATCGACAAAGAGCAATATGTCTGACGTTACCTGTTGAGGAAGATCATTTGTATAAATCAGGAAGAGGAGAGGTCCTAGTACTGAGCCCTGAGGGACCCCACTAGGACATTCCACGGCATGTGAGCAATTGAAGTTTACCCTGACCTTAAAATGTCGATTTGTCTGATATGAACTGAGCCAGTCAATTAAAGGTGGTTTGATACCCAATTGTCTCAGCTTGTAGATAAGACATACGTGATTAACTTTAGTGAAATCAAGGTAGATTATATCCACCTTTCCCTTGCGATCAACGATGCTTGTCCATCTGTCCACTGCAGTCACCAGGTTCGTCATACAGGAGTAACCCTTCCCGAAACCATGCTGCTGGGGTGAGAAGAAATTTAAGGACAGCAGATTGTCGTGTATACCATCGTACGTCAGAGACTCCATGATTTTTGAAGGTATAGAGAGAAGGGCCACCGGTCGGTAACTCGAAGGTTCGCTGCGTCGACCTCCCTTGAAGATTGGTGTGACATGAGCCAGCTTCCAATTTTCCGTTAGTTTGCCTTGACTCAGCGAGTGTGAGAACACCACACTAAGCGGTGTCGCCAGGATTGAAGCTGCTTCATTCAGTATAGCAGAATGGACCATATCTGGGCCAGGAGAAGTGTCTGTTCTTAGATGCTGCAGTTTTCGGAACACCAAGTCAGCGCTCAGGCTCACTACGGAAAGTCCTGTGCAGTTGCAGATGAAGCTTTCATCAGCATAGTTTATGTGGGTCGGTTGAAATGTCCGGGAGTATTGCTCAGCCAGGAGGTTAGCGGCGTCACCGTCATTATCGGTCGGGCCGTTAGAACCTAGCAGTTGAGAAATTTCAGTTTTGTCTTGATGAAGAAAGGCTACGTAACGGAATAAGCTTTTCGGATTGGAAATAAATTTATCCATAAGCTTTAACTGGTACTGAAGCCTGTCTTCTCTTATAGCCTTCGTACATATGTCCCTTATATGTTTGTATTGCCTGTACGCACTGTTGTTGCCAGTTCGTTGTATTCTGTTTAACAGTGTCTTTTACAGATTAACAAACGAAGAGTGCGGTTTATGATGATTGTAGGTTGCATGTGGCTTTTGAGGACCGTTTGAAAGATTGACTGCTTTGTAGCACATAAGAGCGTGTGTAATAGGAAGTTCCAACGAGCATCCACATCAATCTGAGGGTAAACATCTCAATGCACCTGTCGTATATAGTCCTGTAGAGCTGACGCATTCAACCGTTTGAAATTCCAGCGCCTGTTGTTGTTGGACTATCTTAGCTCAGTTTTGCTGACGAAACTGAAGGCTATAACGGCGTGATCGCTTTTCCCCAGGGGAGCCAAAATTGAGAGGTTGTCGACAAGAAATTCTTCATTTGTAAAAACACAGTCTAAGCGCGGCGGTGTCTGACTGTTCCTCCAACGAGTAGCCAACTTCACATTTTCGTGTAGTCCCAAATCCTCAATGAGGTTGAAGAATCGAGCTTCGATTGAATTTTCACCTCCAATATACATATGTTCTGTGAAGTTGACTCTAGGGAGATTGAAGTCCCCCAGAATCAGGATATGAGTGAAACCGAGACGCGTAGAGCGGGATAGTCCTTCCAGCATTCGACTGTCATGCTCGATGTCGGCAGTGGGCTTCCTATATATGAGTCCGACTAGGCACCTCGAAGTGGTGAACAATCTCACAGAGCACCATATGGATTCCTGAAGATTATTAAACTCATGGTTGTGAACTTGGTGTGTCTCAAGGCCAGATAGTATGTATACGGCTACTCCACCCCCAACTCCTGTTTTTCTGTCGTTGCGAAACAGAGACATCCCAGGTATTGCTAGCTCCTGGTCCGAAAACCGAGGAGATATCCAAGTTTCAGACATTCCTATCAGATGAACCTTATTAGCATTGCTAAGTTCACGTAGCACATCCATTTTATTTGGTAGACTCGCGACGTTCATGTATAAGCAGTTAATGCTTTCAATTTGAAACGCGTAAGCTTCTTCCTGCTTGTCTGTGTGAGCCTTACGTGAGTGGACAGGTAGTCGACCTATATAAGGTTTGCCGAATCGGTAGGACCTCTCCTTTACAGGTTTTTTTATCTTCAAGACAGTCCACAAGTGGAACGGTCAGCTACAGCTTGCCTTTGTGCTTGATCCTGGCGTCGTATGGCCTGTCCGGGTGCATGTGGATCCCAGTTGGCAACCGACGTCCGTTGACATGAATTGCTTCCAGAGCTGCAGCCGCCATATGGGGGGATGGGAAAGTTATTCTCATCAGTCGGGGTCTAGGATCTTTGTCCTTCTTGGCTAGTCTAGTCACATGCTGAGTCAGTATGTTTTTGGGCCTCAAGGACTGTTTGATGAATTTTCATTCCTGAATGTCAGAGCTTGCTGACCAGGGACCATGTTTTCCGATACACCTTGCACGATAATTTTTCTTCCGCGGAAAAACTTCTCTTAAGAATCTCTAGAGACCTTCCGGATGAGATTGCGCTCAGAATACGGTATGTCAGGCAGTATTCTAACGTTCCCATCGGATTTCAGTAAATGACTAGCTAACAGGACATCCTCTTATTCGGTAGCATTCCTGAGTGTCACACGAAGTAGTATCGGGGGATTTTGATGTTTAGATTCCTTTCTCCGAGTGAGCCGTGTGACCGTCAAAGGCTTTGTTCTAGGAAGTTACAGCTATTTGTTCAGTTCACCTCAAAGCATCCTGCCGTTTTTGTCCTGCAAACTGAGAGGAAGGTCAGGGTTTTCTATGAGGTTCATGATTATGAGAGAGCCATCACGGACCGTTATTGTTTTCTAAGGATTTTCGGTGCGTTCAGGTTCAGTACGTTGTTGTTTGGAGGTCGAAGCAGGTTTTTGAGTCGTAGGCTTTTTGATAACCGTGCGGACGTTTTTATGGGTAGACTGAGCGATCAAATCACCAGTTGATGTTCGTACAACACTTCGGATGTTCAGCTTAGACGGTGACTCCTGATTTTTAGCTCCGTTAACGTGGGCACAATATCTGCAGAGTTTTTCGGAACCACTGTTGCATTTAAGGACCCTGAGCTGGGAGATCCGAGTTTAGTGAAAATTCAGTAAAATTCATGCCACTTTTCACACATTTATAGATAGTGCCTGAAATGTATGTATGAATTAGTAAATACCATTAATCAAATTTAAGTATTTATGGTAAGTAAATATTACCAAAAATTTTACCTCCATTATCATCTATGATGGGCCCGTCAATAAGCGATCACTTTATCATCGTATGTATCAAGAATACATGCTCTAACCCTTAATGTAGGCAGATTCGATTGGAATGATCACAACGTTAAAATCAAAGACGGAAAGTAGATCGTATACAATGTGGAAGTAACACAGATTAGAAAAAACCTAAAAATCAACATACTTAATTGATTGTTTGCGCGACATTCACTAATTTCTTTATACATTAAAACATTTATACTCAACATTTAATATACGGTTTAGTTTCAGGACTAACGAATTATAAATACAAAATATAAATTATTAAATAATAATAAACCACACATGAAAAGTATATTTGCGTATTCTCAGAACACTCCAGTGTCTGATAATTCCGTCGCTGACTTGCATAAATCAATTTACTACTTTGCATTAGCTCCTTTTTGTTTCAGTACGGTTCCAAATAAATTGGTACTGTCCAACGGGCGGTAGATTAGCCACTTAACTGTACTGAATGCAGTCTGTTTGGTGGATATTTATGAATTCTTCTATCTTATGCACTCGTCTAGAATAATTAGGGTTTTTAGGTACCAACAGCTGTCTTGTTACCAGGTAGGAGGTTGATTGATTGTAATGTAAAAATTATGAAGTGGTAATTTATGTGCGAAGATTCGTTTTCTCCAGAATAAGTGCTG